TCATTCAGAATGCCTGGTAATCTTATCAGACAAGGCTCAGGGCTGCTGGGTCAAAGGGCGAGACGTATCTTCCTTTGCTTCCAGCCTCTTGTATTGAGTTCTTTGTTAGGTTGTAATGGCCAGGGCCCTGCCTTTGTTTCCCCTCAGGCTGCTCATTCCTCACTGCTACATAACACAATGACCAGCTATTCCCTACGCTGGCCCTGACCAATCAGCAGAGCCCACAACCCTGACTCCCTTGGCCACCATGACTTATGATTTTTCTTCTTTATAATCGATTCCTTGGAAGCCATTGAGGAGCCAGATCTTGGGCAAGCTCACCTGTGTCTCTGAGCTTGGCATTATTTTCTTAAATAAGCCTTTACCTTCTTTGCTGCAAACTGCTGTTGGCATTTTAATGGGCTTTGATGTGTGTAGGCAAACAAACCCATTTAGTTTGGTAACACAACTAATTTTGTTGTTCACACATCTTTCAAAAAAACCCCCCAAACCCCACAAACTAATTAGGTATATTATCTGCCTTCCAAGCTATCATGCGTGAGTTTTACCAAGTGTTTTTCTGATATATAATATGAATCATTATCTGTAATCTCTGGTAATTATATTCTAATTACCTCCTAATTGGTTCTTATGGCAAAACCATGCAGTATTTTACATTGTGTTGTGGATTATGTCTGATCTCCATTCCCATCCTTTGGCTATTAAAATACTCCCATTCAGAATACCAATTTACGTACCAATCAGGATCCATGTGACACTAATGTGACAAATTCTCTCTAAATTTCAGAAATCCCAAACAACCGAAGTTTACTCCTTGCTCAGGCTGCATGTCCACGATAGGCAACAAAAAAAGCTCATGGTAGACACTCAGGGGCCAGGCTAACCACAGCACCACCTTGGTCATGACGCCAGGCTGCAGGGAACGAACTTTGAAGGGTTTTGAACCGGCAGTGAAATTCCTGGTCCAGAAATGTCCTTTCCATTCATAACTCAACCAGAACTAAGTATATGACTCTGGCCAACAGCAGAGGAGCTTGGATGTTCAATCCAACAATATGCTTGGAAGGCAAAAGGCCAAAAGTGTAGAGTGAATAACATTATGATATCCAGTTGGTATTCAAAAAGAAAAGGTACTCATTCTTGAAAAATATACAAAGTATAATGAAGATAATAAAAATCACCAAAAATTTCCCCTTGGAGATAATGGTAAAGCAGCATTTTGTCCTCTCTTCCAATCTTTTTTTTCCCCCAATCATATCATGTTGCATCTTGTGATTATACCCTATGTTATTATTTCCCTATTGTTGGCCATTAAGGTTATTTCCGATTTTTCACATTATATGTGCTATGATATTCATAAACCCTTGTGTTATCTTAGTGTACACAGCTTTATTTGCAGTTCTGACCTTATTTCAGCTAAGCTGACAGGTTAAAGGATATCAGTTCTTTTAAGGATCTTAATACCTATGGCTGCAATTGCTTTCTAGAAAGGTAGAAATTGGTCTGTGCTTTTATTAAGAGTCTAGTAAAGAAAAAGCGATGTCATTTCTCCCTTTCAGCATTGGGTACTACTCCTTTAAAATTTTTTCTTTTTATCCTAGTTTTAGAAATCTTCACAATGTACGCCACCATTTATGAAAATAAATTATTATCAAGATACAGGTAATCGGTTTGGTTTTGCTTTGGGGTATCACAAATTGAACACATTCAGGAAAATGCTAACCAATTAGATTTTACTTAAGCTGTGAGACAGACACAACTACAGTGAGGTAGGAGGCCTCATGACTGGGGCTATCGGATTAAAATGGGGGTTTTTTGGATGCAGTTTCAGTGATAAGCTGCTAGAATTATTTTGGCTACATTTGGAGTCGTGCTCTCTCAAGGACAGTTTGGCACTCTAGGGGAGGAAGTTTTCCTCAACCATTCTAGAATCCGTGGCTGGATCTGGAAATTAAACTGACAAAAAGAGATTAACAAGAGAAAAGCATACAAACTTATTTAAGATAAATTTTATATGACACCAGAGACTTCCTAATGAAAGGAAAACCCAAAGAAGCGGTTAAACTTGAGTGTTTTTATGCTGGGGTTGGTGAAGAGTGTGAAGTCATAGAGAGTGAAAACTGATAGGACAGGGTATCAAAGTGTAGTGATCTAGGGGACACTTAGCAAGGCCTGTTTGTGCAGGTTGCTCTCTCTGTCCCTCGGTGGTTGCAGATAAAGATCCGCCTTCCCTCTGGGTAAAGGGAGGGCACCTCTCACAGGAAGGGTTCTATGACTTGTTTCGGGAAAGTACAGACAGTCCTTCTTGCACGTGCCATTTCTCATATTCCTTTTGTTTTAAATATTCAATAGGCCAAGTTATCACATTTCAAGGTAGCATGTCCCTGTCAGAACATACAAGTTGGAAGAGCTGGCACAGACAAGGTGAAGGGTTGCTCTGTATATGGTTCAATGGCAGATGTGTAGACCTGCGTTCCCTACTAATCCTAGACCTCTCATGATTCCCCAGAGAGCATCCCACCTGGACTATGCTGCTCGTGTTCACTTAGAGTTCATCTCTGTTCCCAGCTGCAGCCCAAGCCACTGCTTTTCTACTTTCTTTCTTCATATACTTGACTTTTCCAGTTAAATGGCATTGTACAATATATGGCCTTCGGGTCTTTAATGTAACATGATGTTTTGAACTTCATTCTTGTAGCATGTATCACTATTTCACTCCTTTTTATTGTTTAATAGTGTTACATTGTATATACTGTGTACATATACTGCACTTGGCTTATCCTTTAAGCAATCGATGGCCATTTGGGTTATTTCCACTTCTTGACTATTATGTATAATATAACGTTATGAGCATTTGCATGTAAGTCTTTGTTGGGACATGTTTTCATTTCTCTTGGTTAGGTATCTAAGAGTGAATTTCTTGGTCATATAGTCAATTTATTCTTAACCCTTTAAGAAACTGCTGAAATGTTTAAAGGGTGACTGTAACATTTTACTTTCCCACCATGTATGAGAGTTCTCACTTCTCCATATTCTTGACAACTTTTGTTATCTTTTTTATTACAGCTACTTTAATGTGGAGTGGCTTTCATTTACATTTCTTTAATGACTAATGATATTGAGCATATTGTCATGAGTATGTTATCCATTTAATGCATCTTCTCTGATTAAACATCTATTCAGTTTTTGTCTGTTTTAAAATTGTTTTGTCTTATTCCTGAATTGCAAGAGTTATTTGTACATTCTGGATACAAATACCTTATCAGATATGTGATGTGCAGATATTTTTACGGTGTTTTTTTTATTGTACTGTGATGCTTGGGTTGACCAAAAGGTTTTTACAGGTTTTTTTTCTGTAAAATAAAAGGGATTTTTATTTTATTTCATTTTCTCCAATAACTGTCTTGATTTTGATATTTTGAGTAGGTTGGCTATCTCCTGTGTGTTACAACATTGATTATTCTCAATTAATGTCTCAATTTGATGGCTCTCAACTGCGGGAAATCCCCAGCATGAAACTTCACAGATCACTTTTGACATGTTTGATCAGTCACAGCACCTTATCCAAACACTGCACAAAAGTTTTTTGTGTTTCAGTTGTGCTTTTACCGTTCTTGAAATAACAAAGCATAATATGCCACAAATGTTGCTTATTTTCTTCCATCTTCAATATTAAAAACAGCTACACAAAAATTCACCAATTTTGATTTTTTTAAATGCGTGCTGACATGACAGCTATAATTATCAATACAACCTAACAAAATTGTTTTGAGTGAAGTTAAAGTTGACTAAACACCACTAGAACCATCTTATGGGAAAAAACCAAACAAACTTTTTGGCCAACCCAATATGTTAGTCAGAGTATGCTAGGTAATATTGTCAAAAACAAATTCAGTGGCTTAAAACTTCAGTTTTAGTTCTCACTCATGTAAATTTAGTTACGGCTCCAGGTAACTCCCTAGCACAGTTGTGTTCTGTGTGTTGGCTCAGTGATGCACATTATCTTCAATGCATGAGCACCAAGACAAAGAAGAGGGCCTTTGAGACGCTTGTGCTGGCAGTGAAATGCTTCCACCCAAATATGTGAGCCGAGTCAGTTCTCACATTTCACTGGCTATGTAAATCATATGACCACACCTAACCTCAAATGGTGAGTGAGGAAGGGTTTTCCTGCAACGTGTTTGAATGGAGAAGAACAAGGAATAATGGTGAGCAGTACTAATGGCTATCATGGGGACAGACAAGGAAGATCCCAGTTTTTAAAACAAATATTATGTGTGTTACAAGCGATGCACAACTAAAATGTCTGTACAATATCTTAGTTCCGCGTGTGCAAGATGACTTCAGTGCAATTCCGAAAGTGGAATTGCTAATCTAGGAAAATGCAGATTTTTACACTTTTTTTCCATTTTCCATTTTGAAAGGGGTCAAGATCCTAGAAACGTTTGCACCTGTCTAGGCTGGTGGCACCATTGATGCTGCCTCACACTTTGGCTGACACTGGGCATTAGCACCCTTTAATTTTTACCAATCCAATCGTCAAAAAAGGGAACTCAAGATTTCAATCTGTATTTCTTAGGAGTGAAACTGAGTTTCTTCCTATTTGCCAACCATTGACCTTTTTCTTCATGCTGTCTTTGACTTCGAGGCTTTGTGTGGAGTCCCTGGGTCCTCCCAGGTGCCAGACTCAGGAGTCCGAGCTTGGCCTGGTAAAGATGATGAGCTCCCTGTAGACAGGGACCGTGCACCTGTCATCTTGTGCCCTGCACACCTGGCTGTGTCTGGTGACCAGCCCTGGGCTGGGCAGGTGAGGAAGAGGAGACACAGGTGTGGCGTGGTGAGAAGACAGCTGGGGACACAGTGAGGGCATAGGAAGGAGGATCAGATTCCAGTGAGCAGAGGACAGACCCTGGAGAATCCCGAGTTCCCGCCTCCCGGCGGAGAATCTTATCTTTGCTCTCGCACGGTTTCAGCTGTTGGGAAACTACCAAGGGCATCCGGGTGGGCGCTGGGAGCAGCGGGTCCGGGACCGAGCTCCCACCCCGAGGCTGTGAAGTCGCGCACCAGCGGAGGGGGAGGAGGGGCCGCCAAAATCTTCCATAGTCTCCAAGCGAGTGGGGAAAAAACAAAACAAAACAAAACAAAACAAAACAAACAAAAAACCGAAACCAAAACCTGCCTGCTTGTCCCGCCCCTCCGCGCGAGCTCAGCTAGATTCCGGTGCCGCCAACCTCCGAGGGCGCGTCTCTGCTCCGCTATGGCAAGTTGCTTTTGATTTTGCAGGGCAGGGTCCTCCCGCTCTGTCGCTACGGCCCCCAAGAAGGACGCGGGCCCCGTAGGGGCTGGCGAGGGTGCGGGGCTGACCCGGGCTGCACGCGGAGGGGCATGTGGCAGGGGCAGAGCCGTCTGCCCCGGGGGCAAACCCGCCGGAGAACGTGTCCCTGCCCCGGGACTCCGAGCGTCCGAAATTCACAGCGGGCTGCGCAGGAGGCGCGTCCATCTCCCACACTCAGTGCCCCGTCGCTAGGGACACAGCAGTTTCATCAAGGGGTCGCTTCGCAGGCGGTGTTAGGGCTTAACTGTTGTTCCCCTCAACTCCTCCCGCTTTGGTGAACAAGAGTGGAAGGAGTTAACCAGAAATGGAGGCCACAGTTTCCTTTTGAAAAGGGCCAGGAAGAAGGACTCAAGCCAAGGATGCAAGTTGGGCAGGCATCCAGATGCCTCGTCTCCATGAGAGGGAATGTGGGGATTTTCTCTTGTGGCATTAGTTCTTTCTCTAAACAAGGGCTCTGTGTTTCTACCCCCTGTGCTAGCTATCAAGAGCCATTAGCAAATTCAAGAGTTGGCCTTCCCTTTGTCTTCTCCATCAAGCGCTTGAAAGCGGTGGCAGGGCCCTTCGTTACTGGTTAGAAATGCCAGGGTCTCCGAAACGCTGCAGTACTGTGAGATTCAAGTGCGATTCTGTTTAATGGGTGGTAGTAAAGGCAACGTCAGTGAAAATAAACAACTGATTTTAATTTAAAAAATATAAACAAAAGCAGCGAACAGATACACTTATTTTTCACCAATGCTTTACTTACAAAAGTTAACTCACGGTTTCTCTTTACACCCTTTTGCTTTTGCTGTGAACTCTCCTTTTGCATTGAAAATTATTTTTATTGATTTATGGATTGAGAGAGAGAAAAAAACCCATGGATTTGTTGTTACACTTATTTATAGATTCTTTGCATATCGTATGTACCCGGACCAACCCGCAACCTTGGCTGTGCAGATGGTGCTCAAACCAACTGAGCTACCAATTTTTTAAAAATCAAATTTGATCGCTAATTAAAATTCAACCTTAGTTTTCAGGCCTCTCTCTCTTTTTTTAATACTCACCCTAGGATGTGTTTTTTAAATAATATTTCACTTATTTATTTTTAGAGAGAAGGAAAGTGAGGGAAAGAGAGAGAGAGAGAGAGAAGCACCCTCACTTGTCTCAGAACACCCCCAGCTGAGGACCCGGCCCACAACCCAGGCGTGTTCCCTGACCAGAGTCTGACCCCAGCTTTCAGTTCACAGGCGAGAGCTTAATCAACTGAGCCACACCAGCCAGGGCTATACATATTCTTTTAAATTGACTTTTTTTAAAGAGAAAGGAAGGGAGAGAGAGAAGAAAAACCAATGTGAGAGACAAACGTCAATTGTTCTTCCTTCCACAACTCCCCTGATGGGATCAAACCTGCGGCCAACATGGCCTCTCTTTCATGAAGCTTCTTTGACTGCATAAGCCAGAATTAATCTTGCTTCCTAATCCTGTCTGTCATTTATTGTGTATTTTAGCATCTTTATTGTGAGTGATTGATTTTGCATCCTCAAATTGCTGGACAGTGGTGTTTCCTCTTGTAGTGAAATAGATCTCCTTTTTGTTCCTGCCAAACTCTGTTGAAATAATTTATGCAAGTGGCTGTCTCTCATCCATGAGGTAGAGGTCTTTTTATTTATTTATTTATTAGTTTATTTTTTTATATTGGCAATCCCAAGGCCTATCCAAGTGCCCCAGACATAATACATGCTCAGTAAATTTTTATGGTGGAATTAAATTTCAGCACAGGAGTATGCTTTATTTCTTTGTAAATGTAATGGTATCCAGCATATTGCCAAACATAGAACACATGCTTAATTATTTGTTAATTAATTGAGAAGATACTATATGTTCTAAGAAATTCAGTTGCACACTCACTAACAGGTACGTTGTTGCCAACCTTCTTTTAATAGCTACCAGCTGAAACTCCAAAGAGGTGCTGAGACAGTGCATTCAGGGGACAGTCATCATTTACTTCAGTCATTTACTATTGAATTTCTACTATGATCAATGAAAATTTCACTCAAATAATCTCTGACTTTTTTCACTTTCCACATTTGAAAGTTTTAATATTATTTTAAATTCTGCTCTACTCTGGCAGGTGTGGCTCAGTGAATTGAGTGCTGGACTGTGAACCGAAGCGTCAAGGGTTTGATTCTCAGTCCGGGCACATGACTGGGTTGCTGGCCAGGTCCCCAGCAGGGGTCATGCAATAGGCAACCACACATTGATGTCTTTCTCTTTCTCCCTCCCTTCCCCTCTCTCTGAAAAATAAATAAATAAAATCTTTAAAAAATTCTACACTGGATTATTTTTGTAAATTCCATAATATATTGAAGATTTACATAGTATTACATGATTCTGTAATGTTAGGGTAGACTATTTTTCTTCCTATTTTTTTCTCAGCTTCTGTTAGTTTGCCTTTGTTCTACATGTTTCTATTTTATTCTGTAATCATATTTAAGTCTTTGGCATTTTGAAGACTTAACAGAATTAGTCTACAAGTTAAAAACCAGTGAGTGTTTATTATGCAAACAGTAAATACTGTGTACAGCAGGGTGATAACGGCATTCTGTGTTCCTTTTCTCCTTTTGGTCCAATTGTCATGTGTGTTTCTCCTTTTACTACTTGCAGGAAAATGTCCCTGGTAGCTGTGGGTTTTTTTTTCTCTTCTATAATTTACTCCAAATCATGGCACACTTTAGTTTGCTTGTGGTCTTTAGGCTGGTTCCCCTTCCAGCATCGGGAAGCGGGAGGACTTGCTCTGTGGTGTCGGCCCCCTTCCTTACCGGTGGGTCAGATTCTCCCTCGTGCGTTCACTCAGCTGTTTTTTCTTAAAGCATACTAATCCTCAAGTTGTCTTTCCCAAGGCTGTTGTGCAGCTGCCTGCATTGCAGTGTGTGCCTGTGCACATCTAGGGCAGGGAATGTGGGGAGACGGCGGGAGCTGATGCTTTGCCACAGCTTTTCAACTAATCTGTCCACCTTTATCTCTTTTTCATCTCTGAAGTTATGCCTGAAGTTTGCCACTTTTCCACTGCAGCCCCTTTTTCTTACTTGGGGTTAGCTCCTTCCCTGTGCTGTGTCCTTGCACATGCTTCTATGTATTTCTCGGTCTTGCAGAAATTTGTTGAAATCTCCTCTATGCTTATTGCTCCCTTTAATAGCACTTATTCATTCATTTACTTTTTACTTTAGTTTTAAGGTGCTCTTGGGATGGACAGGACACTGGGTACTTTGGCTGTCTTCTTCACCTGGGAGGTCAGAAGTAGTTTGACTATCTCCAGTAAAGTCCTACTCTGAATACAGAGTTCTTTCACCTGCGAGTCCTAACCACCTTTGTGATCTGTTCACCCTTACTTGGGCCCATAAGACATCCTGTCCCTCCTGGGGGTAAGTTGGGACAGATTATATCTGAGCTCTGGTACTGTCAGGATAGACTGCCTATAAGCATTGAGGGAAGCTTATGTGTCCACTGCCCTAAATAGAATGGGAGACAAATGAAGACATTTAGATATAAGCCCCTTCACTGGGCAATACAAGAAGTTCAAAGAAGAGTGAGCCCAGGGAAGGGCCTACTTGTAGGTGGTATTTCGTGCCCAGTGTGGTGGCAGGATCTGCAATAGGACATACTCCTGGTGGTTCAATTCCATCTCAGATATATGCTTGAAGGCAGGATTTACTCCACTGCAGCCCTAGTATTATCGCCAGGGTTTTATTTATTTTATTTTTTTTATGGTGACTTTTTCTTGATTCTGACCAAAAACAAGTATAGGATGTGTTTCTTATTGGCTTATCAACCTTGGACTACACCATCAAGAACACTTACAGTCATCTTCAAACTACCATATTTTGTGGTTAGCTTGGCTTTTAAAAAATTTAAATTTTAATTCACATGTGTATTTCGTGATCTTTTTCTTTGTGATTTCCATTATTTTTAGGCCTTTATAAAATCAGACAAACATCAGCCAATGTGTTCCATACAGACAAAAAGGGTTTGCTTTTTACATTTACCTCTCAAATTCATAGAGTTTATATTGGTATATGAGGCAAGGATCTATCTTTTCTATCTATCTATGTATCTATCTATCTATCTATCATCTATCATCTATCTAAAGTATCTAATCAAGTGCACTGGTACCTTTATTGAATAAAGTAGCCTCTCCTGCTGGTATGTGATGTTACCTATACTAAATAGAATCTTTCATATTTTAAAGAACATCCTACTATTTCTTTTATAGGCATCACTTTTGAATGTCAAGGAATCCAAAACAGAAAGAACAGTTGTAGTTGCTGGCCTTCCAGCTGGCTCTTTTGATGATCTATCGCTGACCACATTAGTGAAGATTCACTTCCAAGATATTAATGAGGGTGGAGTTGTTGAAGATGTGATATACCCAACAAGAACCAAAGGAGTTGCATTTGTAACATTCAAAGATAAAAAAGGTATTTCTGAAACAAATTGTTGTAATATAAAAAACACTTCCATAGTGAAATTGAAAATTGAATATCGTTAAAATGAATCATGGGATTGGTGAAGTTTAAAGTGGCTTTTAAAAACATTATTCTATTCAGAATTTAAAGTGGAACAACATTGCACTAACTATGTGAAAATGGCTCATGATAAAGTAGCTAGTAACTGGCAAAGTCTTGAAGACTTGTTTTTAAATTTTGAATTGTCTATATATTAGAAGTGACACATTTTATTGTAGCAAATTTGTAAATTATGGAAAATAAACAAAACCCCACAAAAATGATCTCTAATCTCACTAACAAGATAACTACTTTGGAAATTTTGAGGTGGCTTCAGCAATGTGATTGTACATTACCTTCTCTTTGTTCAAGCCAACAAATGTTCAAGCCACAGTTCTGGCTTCTGGTAAAGCCAGAATGGAGAAATATGGTTTGGATCTGAGATCAGGTTGCGCCAGTATGTTTCCCACTCCCATCTCTGACATAGGTGAGGAAGTTGGGTCTGCAGATTATATTCACTCCTCCTGCTTCACGGAGGGAGGCAGCCTTCCTTGTAGCTCAGTGACTGACAGAATAAATTGCCAGCGGAAGATGAGTCTCCATATCAGCCTCTTGGAGGTGAAAGTATCATATTACATAGGAGGAGGAGAGACTTTGCTCAGCTGAGGGAGGACAGGGTCCAGAGAGAGTGACAAGAGACTATGGATCACCAGTGTCCTTATCTGTGACCATCAGTTAAGCCATTCTCATGAGGGATGGTGGAAAGGGATCTGGCATCACAAAGGGATCTGAGGGTGGTGGGAATCTGGCATTACAAAGAATTCCTAAAAAACCTGTGAAACCTGCTCTGATAAGTGTTTTCATTCATATGTTAAGGGTCTGAGCAGGAAACCCTGAAGTTTCTGCAAAACTCCCTTTCTGACACTCTGACTCAGACTAAGCCCTCAGATTTCTTTGAAATGTTATCTACTGTTTGATCCTTGCTGCCCTGTATTCCGGTGTATTACAACCCAATAAATGCCCCTGGATGAAGGGGCTCACTTTCCCCCTGAGAAACTGGCCATTGCTCAAGGCCTTTTTTTCTTCAGAGAAACTGGCCACTTCTCATCCCCAAGCAGATCATGTCTTGGTAGTGTTTATTTTCATCTGTGGTGGATGGGGGGACTTGTAGGAAAAGTTGCCCCCACATTTATTTATATACAATAATATATAACATGAGTGCTATGAAAAAATATAAAGCAGAATAAAGGGAGAGAATGCGATGGTAGGTGTCACTTTAGATAGCGTGAGTAGGAAAACAACTCTGTTTAGGTGGCATTAGAGCAGAGACCTAAATGAAGTAAGCGAATGACTCATGCAGATAAAGGGGAAGGTAGGACATTCTTGGCCAGGGGAAGGACTGGGGAAAATTCTCTGAAGGGGTAGCACGCTGGCCATCTTGAAGAATAGCAAGGAGGCCTGTGTGGCTGGAGTGGAATGGGTGAGAGGGAGAGTAATAAGAGATGTGGTTAGATGGGTAGCTGGAGACCAGTTTATGTTAAGTAGCTTATAGGTCCAGGCAAGGCGTCCAGATTCTATTTATCCTGGGTGAGAGGGAAAGCCACTGGAGCATTTTGAGCAGAGGACAGACAAAATGTCACTGCCTTTTCTTGGATGGTCAGTCTGTAGACCATGTGGAGCAGGGAAGCTACTGGTCATGGCTGGTTTTGACTAGTGAGGTAGCGGGTCAGGTGATTAAGAACTAATGGGTATTCAGGATTTGCTGATGAATAGGAGTCATTTTCTGAGGTGTGGAACACAAGAGGAAGAGTACTTTTAGACAAAGGATGGTTATCTAGAGTTGAATTTTGGTCATTGAGATGCCTATGAGAATAATGAAATAGAGATTCCCACAGACAGAAGGGAGAAAAGTCCAGGCTGAGATAGAATCGTAGGAATGGCATCTAAAGCCATGGGTCACCCAGGGGGTGGGTGGAGGTTAGCAAAGAGGTATGAGAGCTGAGGTGCAGGCATGCCAACATCTAGAGAGTGGGAGGAGAGGGAGAACTAGCAAAGGAGACTGAGCAGGTCAGCCAGTGAATTAGAGGAAAACCAGGGCAGTGTGGTGTCCTGGATTTAAGAAGGTGAAGTCTCCTCAGGGCCATAATGAACAGAGACTGATTATGTTAATTGATTGATTCACTTTTAGGTGTTTGTTTTCTATTTACATATACATATGTGTGTTTTTAAAAGTATGACTAGGATCATACTTATACATAAAACAATTTTAATGTGTTAAAGTAGAAGGGAAAGCTATTTAAAAGTTGAATTTAGGGGGAAAATGTTGAAGAAAACTTAGGCATTTTAAATAATAGAGTTGAACATCTCTATTATTATTAATGAAAATAATTATTACTGTATCGAGCCATAACACTTCTGATGGCATTGTTTCCACTTAGTTGCAGAGAATGTCATCAGAAAAGAGAAACACTATCTAGCAGAGGAGGTTGGACACATTCCACTCAGAGTCTCTCGTTTGAGTGAAAAGGTAAGGTGTGATGCCGCAGGCTCACTGGTGGTCCTGGATCCCATTTCTTCTGCACAGTGTTCCCTACACGGGAGACGTGTAGCACTATTACCCCATGACTTCTAGGACAGAAGGCGCCACCTCCCTAACCCGAGTCAGTGTTAAAGGCCAAACCTGCACCTTAACATTTTTTTGGTTACTGCCTGGTCTGTGTTTATGTTTCCATGTGTCCCAACTGATGCTTTCACAGTGATAGTGAGTTTTTATGCTCTCATAGATGAAGTCAGGTATGTACCTAAAAACTTAGTTTGGGAAAAAACAAAAACCCAATTAGCATGAACATTAAAAAGAAGCTTTGGAGATGCAGGAAAGGCAGAAATCAGAGGAGAAATTTAAAATTCAAAGCATTGGTTTGAAGCTTTATTTGGTAAGAAACCCATGTGTAGCCACCTTCACACTTGGAGGGTTCCGTACGGGGACCCCTATCCTCTGAGCAGAGGCAGAACAGTGGCATCTATGGATTCTGCTTAAGACTTTGTTTCAAAAAAACATTCTGCCCCTAAAAAATTCTTGACCACCTCTGCTTGGGGAGTGCGGTGAGGGGCTGTGAATCCCACGTTGAGCATAGTGGGCTCCATGGGGCTGTGGGATCCCTTTGAAGGGCCGCTGCAGAGACAGTGGCAGAAGAAGAATGTGTTTATATGGTCTGCTCCACTAAACAGTGCTTTTTAATTCCCCTCTCTTTAATTTTAGGTCTTCAGCTCGGTCAGTGCTATACTTGATCTCTCCATTTTTCAGAGTCAAGTCTTTCTGGAATGTCTGGTAAGAGACCTGAAAAGGCAACATCCAACTTTGTGCTTCAGTTCTTTGGAAGACAGCGCAAGAATCTCCGTCCAAGGATCATTTCCGGCTCTCAAGAAGCTCAAAGAATCTTTGCTATTAAAAGCAAGTTCTCTTTTAGGAAAAAACAGGGGTTTTATCAGTGAGCGGGAGAAGTGGAACAGACAGAGTCCCAGGAGGAGCCCACAGAGAAGTGACAACTCTCTGGAGACACTCAGGCGCTCGGTGCCCGAGACTCCTGGAAGTGGAGAAATAGTTGTTCTCGACACGGATGTTTTTCAGTACCTGAAAGGGGGCAATTTTTATAAAAGCACATTGAAAAAATATCATGTTCTATGTCAGGAGAGAGTAGATGGTGAAATCACCACAATTTGCATAAGAAATGCTCTAGTTGGTTCTCAGCCAAACCATGAAAAACTTGTGAAACAGTTCTTTGAGAAATATTCACATGCTCTTCACTTTGAGCTTAGAAAAGAGACATTTGTTTTGGAAGGAAAGGAAAAGAGAGAGAAAATCAATATTAAGCGGGCATGTGAACAACTGAGTTCGAAGTACCTCGACGTCCTGAGTAAGTCTTATGAGACACACATTGACATTATAGGACCTTCTTCTGTCATTTATGAGTTTAAAAAAGAGGCCATGAAATTAATAAGGCAAACAGTTAGGTAATAGAATCTCAGCAACAGGGGTGGTGATGACGGTTGCTTTCCTTACTGAGCAGGGATGACGCCGTGTATAACGAACGCTAGCTTTATCTCATTTAATCTTTGTGTCCCTGCCTCGTTGCAGGCATTGCTATCCTTACCTCCTGGGGGAAGGAACCAGGATTTGGAGAGGTTAAAACGCTTTTCCAAGGTTATCTCGGAACCCGGCTGGGGTTAAGCCCAGTTTATGTGACTACAAAGATAATATTTAAGATATAAAACTTTGGAAAAAAAAAACCCTCACTAAACGCTGAAGAAATTTCACTTTCTCTGCAACCTCAAATTCTTAGAAAAAGAAGTAGCCTTAATTCTAATATGTGAGAGGTTTAGATGAAGATGATGATGTTATTGGCTATTTCTTAGCATTTACAAAATTTTCATTTATGCTAAATAGAGTAAGAATGCTGCCAAAAGTCACTTGAGAAGCTACTTGGGAAGTATTTCTAATATAGGTTAAATCATTACTTGACTAAATCCCACTGGTACAAGGTTACTGGACAGATGGGACATTTTTATTTAGCCTAACTAAGTGCTTACATAAAATGTTCCTTCTCCTGTTATAATTATGAAGACAGGGTAGTGTCTTTTTTCTTTGCTCCCCTTTTTATCTTGTAACTGTATTGTTAAAGCAACAGCATTTGAGGAGTAAGATCATGCATGATGAGGACAATGACATACGTACTGGAAATATCCGGGGGAACATTTTGTAAAGTGTATGATTGTCCGACCACTATGACGTACACTGAAAACTAATACAATACAATATTGAAAGTAAGCTGTAATGGAAAAATTTTAAAGCGTCACAATTTTCACATATGGAACTAAGAAAAATTGCCCTGGCTGGGTAGCTCCGTTGGTTAAAGCGTCATCCCATATGCAAAGGTTGTGGGTTTGATCCCGAGTCAGGGCACTCACAGTCGACCAGTGAGTGCACGAATACGTGGGACAACAAATCGATGGTTCTGTCTCCCTCTCTCCTTCATTTTTCTCTCTAAAATCAATAAATAAAAAATTAAGAAAATAAATAAAAGGAAACATTAACTGATACAAAAGGAATAACAAATGCTACTCGCCAGGCATCATTTTAAGAGCTTTTCATATCTTGTGTTGTTTGGTTCTGACAGCAGCCCAGTGAGGCAGGTGCTGTTCTGCCCTTTTCACAGAGGAGGAAACTGAAGCGCACCCATGTTATGTCGCTTGCCTGTACTCTCAGTTACTAAACTGTGCTTCTCCCTGTCGTAGAGCTAGTTTCCTACAATTCTACTGAAACAACTGAGAAGTGTTACCTTAAAGATGACAGGATATGAAAATTCTTTAGTGAATAAGGGAAGGCAGGGATTGTAAGTCATTAAGTTGTCCAGGACTACCCTGAATTTAACTTTGGGTGAAGCCGATTTTAAGTAGCTGGGCCACTGAAGAGGGCCTTCCAGAATAATAAGATGAATACCTCTCACATAGCTCCAAGTAGACAATCGTGCTTATGATAATTGGAATTGTTTATATCAGTAGAAAAGATTAAGGAGAACTTCTGTATGCTTTCATTGTTTTTTCTCAGCCGTCTAAATCCAAAATATGTAACTAATCTCTATTTCTTTAAATATGACATTTCATTTCTGTATGAATAAACAAACACTTATCAGGGGAAACAGCTGTTTATATCAAGCAACCCAATAAAGTATCTTCAACATAAAAAGGAGGTTTCATTCTTGTTTTACTTCAAGGACTTTGTTTCAGTCTGGGTCCAATCAGGAGGGAGAAGACAGCAATTTGAACAGGGAAAGCATAATATAAAGAATTGTTAACTATAATAGGAGATTGGAATAATGAGGGATTGACTATCAAGAAAAAAAAACTTAAAAAAATACAAGGATAAAAGATATAAAGAGCAGTTTAGATAGAGCACCCAAGAAAGAACTCCCCAGCCCTTGCTGTCGTTAGAACTGGAAGCCAGCCCTTGCTGGAGGGCTTGCCCGAGGGCATCTTGCTGGAAATCCATCCTCTGGGGTGGTGGAAGACTCTTCCTAGGAGTATCTCACAAGGGCACTCCATTACAGGACAGTTGAAAGGGTTGCTGAGGGGAGGAAGTGGCTGGTGGCTGGGTGATACAGGCCACTATGCCCTACAGGCACCGAGTGGTGGGGAGGCCCCATGTGCCAGGGTCTGCACACTGGAGGAGCTGCCAGTGATTCACGGCCCGATGGTGGAGAAGCCGCCTGTGCTGAGGGAGCTGGGTACTCGGGGACCTCGATCCGATCTGGGGTAGCCTGCCAGTTGAACACACTGAAGCAAGAACGAGACTCTCCTCCTGCAGTGTCCCTCTGGTGCCCTCTACTGGGAAAGCCTAACATCCTGTCAACTACAAAAGAAAAATCTTTAAAGGGCCTAAGTCTATTTTTATAAATTATGCACAAGATGACTTTAAAGCTTAGTCAAAAAATTAATAACTGACAGAGTTATCTTCGGTACCTACCAAGGCATTCATTATTGCTGGGTATTAATACCAATAGGAGAGTTTCTCAACAAAGAGCTGGGTCAGAATACTGTCTCATTCCACAATCTGATAAAAATTGAACACTAGTTGATTTAAAGGTACAGGTAGAGCATCTTCTGCTTGAGAAGATTATGTATTTCAGGTCTTTTTACATACTGTTGTCCATTTTAGGATTTGTTTAATGGCACTCTCCTTATGCTGGTTGTGTAACCAGTTTCTATCCTTTATAAAAACTGTCTTTTTTTCAAAGCAGTGATACTGATTTTTATTAACATTTATTTTGGAAGGTTATTCATGTAGAGGCAGATGATATGAGTCCCGACTTGTGGTCAGGCCTAAACCCTGTTGTGTGTCTGCCATTGAGAGAAAAACCTGTCGTGTAATTAGACAGGTTGATACTTTTCAAAGAGGCTGCAGGTTGTGAAGGGAGCTATTATCAGGTCTAAAAAGATGTAGCAGTTTGAGATCAATATGGACAAAGAAGAAGAGTGGGGGAAAGGGCTCTGGAGCTTTTGGTAAGAAACTCAGCAATTTTTGTTGAGCTCATTCTCTGGGACAACTATTTTGCTGTGTTCTTTTGGAGAAAGCAGTGGGACATCAGACAAAAGTGTTCTCCGACTCCTTCGAAGTCCGACAGAGAGACCAGCAAACAAGCCATTACAGTAGTGCTTGCTATACCAGTAGTCTGCATAGGGTTGGGGAGTCAATTCTTACCTAGTCATTTCCAAATTATTGGCATAATTCCCATAGAAAAAGGTAATGAGCAGTTAAGTTTTATTTATCTTACTATTGAGAAGTTAACTAGCAGAACAAAAAGCTGGTTCGAAAAGATCATAAGAAATGGAATAAAAAAGTCACTAGGGAAGAGCATGTTGGTAAAAATTGCTACCTTGGATCAAAATTAATCATTGTCCTATAATGCTATAAAATTGTTATTCAGGGGACTGTTTTTGCTTGTAGACAGAAAAAAGAATCATAATTTGTTGGTCTTTTTTCAGAGTCAAAATTCTGACTTCTCAGAATTATAAAATGTCATTGTCTTAATCAATTGTGATATTAAGTGAAAGCAAGTTGCATTCCCCAAAAGAGTGACCCACAAGTGGGTTTATTAGAGCATGTCCCACATGGCATCAAAAGGTCTACGTAATTATTTTGTACCTTATTTCTGTATCTTGAGAAGTTTTCTTTAACAAGTGTCAGAAGAAGCTTCCTAGGGGCTGAGAACCAATGGATACCGGGCACTAGCTCAGTGGGAGGTTGAAGCGAGTGGGCACTTCAGCACCTGGTTGGTAGATGAATGCGAAGTTTAAGGGTGGCTGGATTTTGACAGCTTAATCTTTACATCTTCTATTTGATAGACAAGATTCTTCAATTTCTCAACAGGAGACTCCAGGTACAAAGGCATAGAGGGAAGGAAATGTCTAATTTGCTTTGTGAGTTTCTCTTTATAAACCATGTTAGCGATAATATATAAAGTTTCTACAAAAGAGTAATTTAAGGAACTTCAGTGTCCTATCTGGACTTTGTCACTTTTGAAACATTTCCTGGTATAAAACTGGCTGACTGAAATGAACCCCCTTCACTCGAGTGGGCTCTCTTCCATGTTTCCCATTGACTCCATCTCTCTCATCTCTCCCCTCTGTCAAGCTGAATGATGCCGGGAAAGTCCCTTTACCCTCCTGGCCTCAGAATTCTCAGCTGCAGCCTACTTCACAGGGTTATGGTGAGTTTTAAAAAAGCATTTTAAGGAATAGATGTCCAAAAATAGTAGTTATTATTTGAAGAATTCGGTAATACCAATACCCCAAGAAGGCTCTCTCTGCTTAGAATGTCTCATCTCAGAGTTGGCACCAACATGGTACTCGAACTAGAAAACAAGGAGTTGCTCTGGACTTCTCCTTCCTTTTCTCTCCATTTGCATGGCCAGGACCTTTGATCAGGCCTATGTCATCCCCTACAAGATTTAGTGGGTTGAATAGTAACTCCACCCCCAATTCACTTACTACACTACTATAATTAGCTCATAGCCTGAGTTGTTGCAGTTTTCTAACTGGCCTTCCTGGCTCCACTCTACCCACCCACCATGCTCTCCATTCATTCCTTACATCACTACCAGATTCATCTGCCTAAATTGATTAGTGGTAATCAGGAAGCTTATACTCTCAGGCTAGGGCCCCACCCTGAAATTTCACTGAAACATTTAATCTTACCTTCTCTTTTATCCGTTTACAGCATATATTATGTGATAGGTACAGACTACTTAAGCTCATAAAAAATTAGTGTTTTCTCATATATAAACTTATATTTTGGTTTTCAAGTGTTGATTTTTCCAATGCGAATAAGTGTCTTTTTTTTCTCCCCCAAAGCTGGGAAGCATCATTTAGTTAGAGGTAGCTCTGTCAGAAGAACACGGCCCATAGTGCTGGCTTTAGCAACACTACTTACTAGCTTGTGACTTTGTTCTTTCAGTTTTCACATTTATGAAATAGGAATAACTAGCCTCATAAGATTTTGTGATGACAAGACGAAGCCCTTAGCCTGAGGCTTGGCTCCTTGCAGTAAAAGGAAGCCCTCCTTACCATTCCCATCAATCATAGGAAAAAACACACCACAGTTCAGAGCAAACATGGTACATAATTTGAAAAGTATTCCTTATATTTTCTGTGCTAAAGGCCTTTATCTGTAACAGGAGGACTGTAGAATGGAAGATACTGCTGGGTGTTTCAAAACATCTCTTGTAAAAGAGAATGCCCTCCAAAGTGTCTTCCCATATGTACAGAAGTTTAAAGCGGGGCTCATTGGTTCACAGCATTATTTTGGGAGGGAATATCAGAATTATGTCTTGGTATTTTTCATGCCTGGTGGAAGAGGGAGTGGTTTATGTCCAGGACGAAGACAGTAGGCTACCCAACCTCTTGAACCCCTAAGAGGTGTGAGCAGTGGCTTTGTGTTAACACTTGATTCTGTTTATATAGTTTTCCACTTGTAGAACATCTCAGATCAGTTTATATCTAAGAGGCAAGCTCAGATTTTGTAGTTTTCAAATTCCTCCCTTGATTTTTTTTGCAGAGGCAGGGGATGGGGTGGAGGTATACTTCTGCAGTTAGTGATATGTCAGACCATGTCGGACAGTCAGGAAATTGCTTTAAACCCTTTTAGTTGTTCTGTTTCAGCACATTGGGGTGTACGTTACATTCCTTTTAACTATATAAACGAGTGACTACAATCCTAATTTTTTTCCACTGTGAGAAGGCCTTACTTTCCTTTCTAGGCTTCTCTCTCTCTCTCTCTCTCTCTCTCTCTCTCTCTCTGGAATCCCAGGGATTCTTACTCAGCAGAAGGGAAGGACTTGAAGGACAGAAATATGGTACGCCTGCTCAGTTTGCTAGAGGAACCCATCCTGGTTCAAAAGTTGTCTCTAATGGTCTGTTGTTTTAATGTGTCATTCTAAATAAAGAGGTAAACAGAGGCAAGCTCAAATTTCCAGAAATTGAGTTTATCCCGGAATAGCAGAGGAAATGCAACGTGAAAGAAAGCGCATGCTGCAGCAAGCTTCAGGCAAGTCCACTGAGGGTTTTGGGCAGGCTGTATCTGTGAGGAGGAGTGCAGAAGGGGCAAGTCCTGCCAGAGTCCAAGCAGTTAAGTTCATTGGCTTGAGGATGTCAGGGATTGTTCATTGGTCAGGAGTTACCTTGTTGGGTCTTTAGTAAATCAGGCATTTACCGGAAACCAGTCTCTCTGTTCCCACATTCTGTGTTCCTCTGAGGGCTTGTACGTGAGACTCACCATTTCATAGCCTCACTTCCACCTCATGCTGAAATCCTTTCACAAGTGTGGTCCTTGCCCTCAAGGCGATCCAGATCTGTGAGCGTCTCTGATCTGGGGGTGTCTTCTGCAGGTGGAGAAAGAGGACTCTGCCCGGAGTTGTGCCGAGGTAGGCCAGCTCCCAGGGACAAGCATCGTTAGGGACCGAGCTCTCACCTACTTGATGAAACTTATTTGTAACCCCCATGCCCACAAATGCTCATAAGGTAAATAAAATAAAATAAAATAAAATAAAATAAAATAAAATAAAATAAAATAAAATAAAATAAAATAAAATAAAATAAAATAAAATAAAATAAAATAAAATAAAATAAAATAATAAAATAAAAAATAAATAAAATAGTAGCCTGACTAATAGAGTCC